GTCACACGGGCTGTGTGCTGGTCTCCACATTCCTACCCGTCACACGGGCTGTGTGCTGGTCTCCACATTCCTACTAGCATTTTGTCTTTAAAAATTTATTTTGGCCGGTTTAGTAGTTATAAAACCATATCTTACGCTTGACGTTTTGCCTGTTTTTACTCCTAAGAATTATCATTTTTTCTGCATATTTTGATTACTTCTAGTTTTAAGTTATGCTAATTTTTATTTCTAACTTTCCTTATTTTCTGCATGAATCTTTTTAGAATTTTGAACAAACTCTTCTAATTAGATGTAGCTATCAAAATTTTGATGTAAATATTTTCGGTGTTGTGCTTTTTTTACTGGTACAGAGGTTTTGCATCTATCTGTATACACGGTGATAATCTTTTCCTCTGATATTCTCTAACCGATTGAAGTTAAACATGTATTTGCTCATGATCTCTTAAGTAGGCTACTCTGTTCCTTGCAGCTTCAGCTTGTCCATGGGCTGGCATAGTTTCATGTATGCTTTTAACTCTTTAAGTCTTCTGGCGTTTATTTCAGTGAAGCTCTCATGTGGGCTTTAACTCCCCCCTTTCCCTCCCTCTCTCTCTTTTTTTCCTTCAAAACTGCTATCTCAACCAAATATATTAAATAATTCTTATTAAATCCTTTCTTTTGGAAGTCTTACTGCATTATGTTAAGTTCCTCATATATACTTGGATCTATTTTAGGTTCTCTGTTTTTTTTCATTATTTAAACTATATAAAATACCATTTTAAGTATTTTTGTATTATAATGAATTTCAATACCTACTAGGGTCTGGATTCCTCAATCTTCTTTAATCTCCTCTGCTAGTATTCCCATTTCTAAATGTTAGTTTTAAAAACAAACCTTAACTCTACCATTCTAAAGAGGCTATAGACTCACTACAGCACATTTGAGAAGATTAATAGAGTAAGAAATAATTTCTCAAGTCACAGTCTCCCAATAGATCCTCTATTAATATTTTTACTTACTTGTGCTTTTATGGTATTTGAAGTTTGTATCCTGATGAGAGTCTTTCACTGAATATTTTACAATTGGTAGAAAGTTTGGAGAATAACAGAAAATTCTAATAAACTGAATAAAAATTTACCCAGATTTCCACAGCCTAGAGGTAATCACTATTTTCATTTTCATGTTTAGACTTGAAAACTATTTAGACTGTTTTATGAACCTTTTAAATAATGTGCATGTATATATACACGTGTGTGTGTGTGTAGCATACAGTTGAACCTTGAACAGCACAGATTTAAAAGCAATAATCTTGTCCTATAGATATTCTATAATATTTGACTAAATATATTAGACAAATTTATTGAGATTTGTGACAATATAAAAAAACTTAAGGAAGAACTATGTACCTTAGCAATATCAAAAAATTTGAAAAACATATGTCACGAATCCATGAAATATATGTAGATATTAGTTATTTATTTTTACTATCATAAAATATACATAAGTCTATTATGAGAATTTAAAATTTTTATAAGTACTCTTATAACACTTAGAGATCACGCACGGCACCATTCACAGTGGAGAGGATTGTAAAAAAACATAAAGAGGCAGTTTTGATTTGTAAATTCACAGAGTTTATGGTGGTACATACTGTGCTGGTGCAATAATCTTATAGACACCTCCTGTTGCTGGTGTAGTGAGCTCAAATGTTTTATCCACCTAATGCTGTGTGATGCTAATCCTCTTTGTGTGCGTTGTCTCTCCTGTAAATTGTGTATTGCAGAAAAAAGGGATTTCTCATGAATCTCGATTATTCTTCATTGTCTTTAATGCAATATTAAAAACCTTGAATAATGCCATGAGACCCATTTCAAGTGCCGCTGGTGATACTAGACGTACTGTCAAGTGGTAAAGTCATGACATTACAGGTGACCCTTGCTCAACGCAGTCTGAACTGTCTGGGTCCACTTGGATGTGGATTTTCCTCCAACTCTGCCACTCCTGAGACAGCAGGACCAGCTCCTTCTCTTCCTCCTCCTCACCTACCTACTCAGTGTGAAGATGGCAGGAAGGAAGACCTCCGTGACGATCCACACCTACTAATGAATAGTTGATATATTTTCTTTACTACGTATGATTTTTTAAATAACATTTTATCTAGCCTACTTTATTGTAAGAATACAGTATATAATACATATAACATATATACAAAGTGTTAATCAACTATATTACTAGTAAGGCTTTTGGTAACAGAATGCTATTACTAGTTAAATTTCTAGAGTATCAAAAGTTATGTATAAATTTTTGACTCTGTTGGGGTCAGCACCCCTAATCCCTATGTTGTTTAAAAGTCCATTGCAAATGTTAAGATATTTAGTGTACCTGTGTATATAACATATTAAATGTATTGATAACATCCAAGATGGAAGATTTGAAGATAAGAATCTTAGTGACAGGTAATGTCTGCTATTTCTTGTCAATGAAATTGTCTTGAATGTTGTTCTAGATACTATTTGTTAGTGGAGGGAAAACTTATTTTGTTTAGAAGTATTCAAAATTAATATTTATGTGCCCAAGAAAGTTATGTGAAACTCAGTGTTTTCCTTTTAATATGATCTTTTTTTGGAATTAAGAAAGCTTAAATGAAGCTAAAATGAAGCTTACACTTTTTTCTTTGATTTTTTTTTCCATTCTAATTGTTATGATTTATTTTCAGTAAGCCTCAAAACCTTAGGTTGTCCATTTTACTTTCAAAGTGTTAATTTATGTTTTCGCTTATTAATTGTCTATGTCTATCTTAGAACCACGTGTTTTTATTTATACTTCACACAAACAGCAGCTGAAAAGACAACATTGCCGCCAGACCCCATACTCCCACAATAATCCCGTCCTTCCAGTCAGCTGAAGGGTAAACACTATTATTACTTGATTACAAGTTAGTGCTTTGGCTCCAGGTTTTTCTTAATTATTTCATGTTTCAGATTAAAATCCTATGAAACTTGATTCACTTCATAAGATAGGTTTTGATTATAGTATAATAAACAGAAATATGGGGAAATCCAGGATCAACAAATTGCCAACTAGCTTACATTAGCCAAAAAAGCACTTTAAAGGCCATAAGTGTGTTTTGGAAATGTCCGCAATGGAAAAAAATAAAAGTCATAAAGAACTATGGCTTTGAAAATATCACATGATACAATTTCTTTACAAATTGAATCATGATGATCTACATTTTCTTTTTCTTTCCTTTCCTTTCCTTTCTTTTTCTTTTCTTTTCTTTTCTTTTCTTTTCTTTTCTTT